AATGAAGGAAAAAAGGAAGGAAGAAAGGAAGGAAAGAAAGAAGGAAGGAAGGAACAGAGCATTTGTTTGCCCTCTATGGGCCAGACACTGTGCAAAGCACTTTACAAATATCTCATTTGATATAGACCTGTGAGCTCATTAATGTAGATGTTCCCTTCAACGGAGCAGAAGACAGCTCGTCAATGCCTGTCCTCCCCACATTGTGACAATCTTGTTAGCATCCACACATCGCAATGAAGTCCTTCCTCCTTTTCTCTTGCCATCATGAATGTACCAGTGAGCTGTTTAGGAATGATCTCTTGCTACGTGACCAGCCCATCTTTTCCCATCATGCATTTCTTTGATGACCGCCATTCCTTTGGTTTTCCTTTGTAGTTCCTTGTTTGTTGCATTGCAGATGGGCCACACCCACCATCTACCTCTCCCCTACCCTCTAAGTGATGCTCATTTTAAGTTTTTTGAAAACTGTAGTGCTCCTTGACAGGGGGTGAAAATACCCCACTGACCTGTTTCAGGACCAAATTAGTAATGTGTATAAAGAGCTATAGAAATGTTAATTATTGTTGTAAGGTGGGCAGAGGAAAAGGGATGATATGAATTTGAATAGCTTTGCTCCTATAATGAAGGTGGTGATGGTCATTTGGACAAGATTAGTCAGTGACATGGTTGTCAGTCTTGGAACTCATTAAAGGATGATTCCTTTTCTTATTAGTCATTTATCATTCCCTGGAAGCATTCAAGATTATGGTAAAGTAAGGTTTTTGAGCTACATAAGGGTTGGCTTGCGCTACATAGCAAGAATGTGATCCTGAAATGCTTAGCTCCATGGATCTTTTTTATCAGCTTGTCCTCCTTTCAAGTCTTCCCACTGAGCTCCTTGGTCCTGAACCTCTTTCTTTCACTATAAACACAAAAGAATGCACAGAAAATAAAGGGTTAATGCCAAATGAAATCTATGCTTCTCCTCTCCCATCTCCCCCTGTGGTTTTTGGCCCTCTGAAGTTATAATCCCTTTTCTTTGGCTATACAGAGAGCAGCTTTGCATCTTTCTCTGCCATATGCTCTGTATTATGTAAAACATCATTTTACTTTTCATCTGCCTATAACTGAGTTCTAAGAAGCTTCCTGATAGCACCTGAATTTCAGATTAGATTAGTTTGCATTTGATTTCCCCCTTCCTTGGCCTTTCTAGTTATTGCTTGCATTGCTATGGGTACCTCATTGCCCTGAGCGCTGATAAAGTAGAGACCATCCAGTAACTGACAGGAAAACCTAAGTGAATTGCACCTCCTCCTGACAATATAGTAGCTAATTCACCTTTACAACCTGCCAGCTTCCACTGATTTTATCTTAATTCTTCTTCCTTTGTGAAATAAAGTGGACTTTCTCAACTTCTTATGTTGGATTTCATTCAAATTTGGGTAAATCAGCTGGGGTTTTTTTTGTTGTTGTTTTGTTTTGTTTTGTTTTGTTTTGTTTTTTGCCTTTTCCTTTTGGTCTCATCTTTGGATAGCTGTATATAGTTCTGCTCCCAAGGGAAGATAAACTAGCAAAAAGGACAGACTTCATTGAAGAGGCCTCTTGCTTGTTTCGTCCTAACTTGACAAAAAAGTGCAGGAGTAGATTCTTAGGGATTGTTATTGCTTTGTTGCCGAGTAGGAGATGTATATGTGTGTGTGTGTGTGTGTGTGTGTGTGTATACATACACATACATGTGTATATACAGACAGTTCTTGCTTTACATAAATTTGCATTACACAAATCAGACTTTATGTAAAGAATTCTGAAAGAAATATGCATTACCCAAAAAGTATGCCTATGTTAACTTTACTGTACAGTACTGTTCTCTCTCTCTCTCTCTCTTTCTTTCTGTCTCTCAGCTGGGTGCTCCCCAGTCTCCCATCATTTCCCCTAAAAAAAAAAAAAAACAAAACCCCTCCAAGTGAAAGTGGAAGAACAGACCTTGACCACCATTGCTGCTGGCTTGGAGCTTGGCTCAAGACCTTTGGTGCCTAGAGAAGAGGCTTTTGCCCTGCTCATCTTTTATCTGTCTATGCAGGGGTACTGCATGTCTGTCCCCAGCCCCCCAGCATTTGCTTCTCTGTATCGCTTGCTTCTCCATGTCTTTGAATCATGTCCTGACTGGCTCCCCCCCCATTCCCTGGGTCCCTTCCTTTCTCTCTCCCTCTCTATTTCCTTCCCTTCCCCAAGTCCAAAGGCAAATTTGCATTACATAAAAATTTTCATAGAAGTTTGTGGAACAGTCCACTTACCTAAAGTGAGAATTGTCTGTATACATACGTGTATGTATGTAGATATATCACACTATCTACCAGGATTCTCCTCTCCTTGTCTTCCAATCCAATTTAGGTTAGCTTTTCCCCAAAACCCAACAAATTTGACCCCCTGCCCCAAACTGATTGGCCCAGAGGATTAATCTTGCTGGTGACTTCTAGTCAAATTGATGTGACTTCCTGGTCACCTTAGAGCATAAAAAGCCTACCTACATGGAAGTGAGGCCCTTTAGATTTGGTGGATATCCCAAGTCCTTCTGAGTCACCATACCCTGTCCTGTTGACCAGATTCAGTTTTATATGAAAGAAACTACATTGCTGGAGTATGCTTCTTAAATAGCCTTTCTATGCTATGGCTAAGCAAATCACCTTTTATTGACGATCAAATGACTTATTCATTTTGTTCCAATATTCAACATAAACTAATGATGACTGACCTGAGTTAGATCCATCTGTTACACCTGTTTGTAAACAATGAGTAGAGGGAAGGATTGAGTGCCATTTCACGTTTTGTTTGCTGACTGAGACCTCTTTCAAAGTCTTCATCCATGATTTGCTAGTGGAAGGTGACTGATCTCTCTAAATTTATGCCAGTTGAGTGCAAACTCTATTTGGTTCTTCTAAGGTAGAAGGTCTTTGGGGTTGTTCAGTGATGGACTTTAATTTCCCAGAGTTGTATTACTTTTGACTTTTCCATCCTGCCCCAGGAACCTCTTCATTCTGCGAGATCTTATGAGCCCTGGTACTCATACCTCATCACCTGTAGCCTCTCTGGCTATAACTCTGATTAGGAAATTCCTTCCAGAATCTTCCTTTAAGGAGCATACTCAGGCCAGCAATCTCTCATTTCCCACCTGACTGCCTTCCTTAGGACTTTGCCATCTTGACCCTGTGCTGGCTACCTCCTCAATCCCTTTTCATCCTCCTTTTGTGTATTGTCTTCACCCATTAGATTATAGGCTCCTTGAGGGCAGGGATTATCTTTCTTTTTAGTGCTGTATTTGTAACCCCAGCACTTAGCACAATGCCTGACACTTAACTGGCACTTTATAAATGTTTATTAACTGATTGACTTTATGTCACTGGAGAGCCATCCTAGGGAGCTAAGTGGTGAAGTGGATATAGAGAAGGACTTGGGATTAAAAAACAAACAAACCTGTGTTCAAATCCCGGCTCAGACATGTACTAGTTGTATGACCCTGGGCAAGCTACTTAACCTCTGTATGCTTTAGTTTCCTCATCTATAAAATGGGGATAATAATAGCACCTACCTCACAGAATTGTGAGGTTCAGCTAACATATGTAAAGTGCTTTACAAACCTTATATACATACATATGTATAATATAAACACTAGCTATTGTTCTTATTATTAGCCAAGTCTCAGATCTTCAACCTTTCTCTACTGGGGGCTTCCCCACTGCCTATAAATATGCCCCTATCTCCCTCATCCTCAAAAACCTCTCACTTGATCCTTTCTCCATCCCTTTTTAGTTCTGGTGTCTTTTTCTCCATGATTGTTTCCTATTTATCCTGTATATAGCTTATTTGTGTGTAATTGTTTGCAGCTCATTAGATTGTGAGCTCATAGAGAGCATAGACTTTACCTCTCTTTACTTTGTATCTGTAGCACTTAGCACAGTGCCTGGCACAAAGTGGGCTTACTATGATTATTTACTGACTGACTGACTAACTACATTAGACATAAGGCAATGAATATTTTAGCTATAGCAATTAGCAAAGATCCCTGATAGGTCCTAAGGAGGTTGCAATCTATTTGATGGGTAGAATAACCACACCAAAAAAAAATTAGTGATATTTACAGGACTGAATGAAAAAGAATCTATTAAGAGACAAGCATTTTATCATTACAGATAGAAAGATAAAAAATCAGACTGTACTTGCCCTTGAAGAGCTTACGTTTGACTAGGGTTACACAACATATTCAGAGGGGTGGTGACCAGAATGGGATGTTATTAGGGCCAAGTGTAGCCATAAGACCCCTGGTTGACATATCCTTTGCAGGAATGGTAGTGTTGGTTTGATTACTGGTGGAAAGGGAGTGGGGCAGGGGTGAAGATTGTATGAGAACAGTGAGTGAGTTGGGTCTGGCGCTTCGTATAGAAAAACTCTTAGTAGTCTGCTGTCCAGGACTGAACACTGGTCTGGTCTGAGGCAGAACATTTAAAAATAGTGTAAGAAACGAGCTAGACATCAATTCACTTGACTTCTAGAAATAGAGATGTTGAAATCTCAGAGGAAGGTGAGGGGAGATGGTTAGATTCCTTTGCTGTGAGTAACAAATATCCTTTCCCAGGATGGTGGTGGGGGAAGACCAACTGTGGTATGGTGGAAATTGCACTACTTCCAGAATTAGAAAGCTTGATTTCAAATTCTAGTCATTCGGACAAATTGCTTAACAACTTCCCTGGGCCTCAGTTTCTAAAATTATGACTATATTCATATATACATATGAATGTATAAGTAAAATATACTATGCATTATATTAAGATAAAATGAAGCATAAATATAGAAATAAGTGTATCGTACGTTACATTTCAATATAAATTTATGACACAAATTTATATTACACAATCCATGTATATATAAAATTTCTCTTTCATCTCAAGTTTTATATTGATACATTGGTCATTAACTGGAAATCTGACTATATTTTTGGCCAACATTCTCTTGTTTTCTGAATCTAGACAACTTTGCTGGCTACAGCTGTGGAGAATGCAAGTTTGGCTGGACAGGTCCCAACTGCACTCAAAAGAAGCCACCAGTTGTTCGGAAGAATATCCATTCTTTGACTCCCCTAGAAAGAGAGCAATTCCTGGATGCCTTGGATCTTGCTAAGAACACCATCCACCCAGACTATGTGATTGCTACTCAGCATTGGCTGGGCCTGTTGGGGCCTAATGGAATGCAGCCGCAAATTGCCAACTGTAGCATTTATAACTTCTTTGTGTGGTTACATTATTACTCTGTCAGAGATACACTCTTAGGTTGGTTTTTTTCCCCTTTGTTCAAAGTATATCATTAGGTGTAGAGCAAAAAAGGGAATGATTTATTTCAGTAAGTGGGTTTACAAGAGACGAGAGCAAATTGCAGGGAAAGACAGGTTTATGTATGTGTCATAGCTTATCCCCAAATGCCTATAGTTAGGTTGAGCTTATTATATAACTAATAATAGTAGCTAGCTTTTAAAATTTTCAAAGTACTTTTCATAACTTATTTCATTTGAGCTTCACAATTATCCTGAAAGTAAAGAATTAAACAGTCATAGATGCATAGATTTGGTGCTTCTAGGAGCCTTTTTACAGAAGAAAAAATTGAGGCTGAGAAAGGTTATATGATCTGGCCAGGTTCACACAGATACTATCCTCCAGAAAAAAGTACCCACAACATACTTTTAACATACATTATTTCATATTTTCTCCATCATTTTCTTCAGCCTAGAGTAGAGGTGAGCAAAGTGTGATCCAGAGAACAAATCTAGTCTGCCACCTGTTTTTGTATAACCTACAAATTGCTTTTACATTTTAAAATGCAATAAAACATTATTTAAAAATGTAAAAATCATTCCTAGCTGAGGGTTCCACTGAGGTCTGTGATTTGCTGACCCCTAGTCTAGAGAATCAACAAAACAGCAAAACAAGGTCTGCTTTGTTGCAAGTCAGTAAGAGTTGACTCCAGAGCAGCAGAATTGAGATTTGCACCTAGGTACTCGGAAATCCAGAGCACCTGAGCTCAAATCTTGATTCTGACCCTTATTACCTGTACAACTCCTTTTTTTTCTTTCCCAGATAAGGAAACTGAGATTCAGAAAGGGTGAGTTACCCATGTTCACAAAGCCCCTATGTATTAGAAGGGGGGTTTTTGAACTCAGGTTATTCTGACTCCAAAAGTCTAGACTGGAAGACTATACTAGTTATTTCCTTAATTTAGTTTTTCTTTTCTCCTTTCTCTTTGGTTATGTGGTTCATACTCTCAACTTTCCAGCCTGGTGCCATTAATCCTCAAAGCCCAGATCTGATGAAGTGAAGATTAATTTAGTTTGGCTCAAGAAAAAGAAAAAAGGAGAAAACCCCACACATTCTTAAATGTGTGCACAGAATAGCTCAGGGAACTTTTCTTCAAATTAGGGGATTTAATTAAAAATATGCCTATACAAGTAAAAATTCCTTGTGCAAAGCTAAGACTTTCATGTTGAAAACTATGTTTGAGTTGACATCTTTGTGAACACCTTTCTCATAATCATCAGAGTCACCAGATACTCATAGGGTTAGAGAGTACTTTTTCTTTTCTTTACTAAAAAACTAGGTGATGGTTTTGGCAAAGGAAAGTGGCATCACAGTGGATTTGGTCCTTCCTATCACTGTGAATTCTTTTAGGGTAGAACTCTGGGAAAATATCCAAGAAAACTAGGCTCTACCCTTCCTTCCAGTCTCATTATTTAGCTTAGCCTGAGACCAGACCTCAAGGTCAGGGGCAGAGTGCAATTTGAAGGATGGAAGAATGTGTTCTCTGGTCTTCTGCATCAAGACAGGCTAGTTTTGTTTGAACGTCATCTCTACAGAATGCCATGAAGACTATTCTCAGTTTGCCTAGGATTTCAACATATTCCTGAACCTACATCAGAATAAATTGAATCCTTTGTTTCTGAAATGGGCCTGTGTTAGGATAGTATAATGACATAATGGAAAGTGCATTGGATTCAGAGTCAGAGGTTCTAAATTCAAACTTTAGCTTTGCCATTAACCTACTACCCTGTGGCAGCTAGGTGACACAGTGAATAGAGCACCAGGCCTGGAGTCAGGAAGAGCTCTGTTCAAATCCAGCCTCAGATACTTAATAGCTGTGTGACCCTGGGCAAGTCACTTAACTCTGTTTGCCTCAGTTTCTTCTTCTGTAAAATGAGCTGGAGAAAGAAATGGCAAACCATTACAATATCTTTGCCAAGAAAACTTCAAAGAATCAAACACGACTGAAACTATTGAACAACAACTACCACTACTATTTGTTTGATGATGACCAACTCTTTGGAGTTTCCTTCCACTAAAGGCCTGCTGTGATGCTATGTGTTGCAAGGAGGTGACCCTGGCAGAATCTATTATGCTGTAATGTCTTTGAGTATGGTCATAGTGATGAACTATTTTCTCTCTCTTTTTTTTGTGTGTTTTTTGCTAGGCAATAGGGTTAAGTGACTTGCCCAGGGTCACACAGTTAGTAAGTGTCAAGTGTCTGAGGCCAGATTTGAACTCAGGTCCTCCTGACTCTAGGGCTAGTGCTCTATCCACTGTGCAACTTAGCTGCCCCAGTGATGAACCATTCTCCAAGGACCTGTCTAAGGTTGGAAGAAATGAATTAAAAAGCATTTCTTAAGCACTAAAAAAAGTTCAGTTTCCTCATCTATAAAACGAGGGACTTCTAAGTCCCTTCCAACTCTAAATATGTGATTGTGGGACCCTCTGAATTATTATAAGCCCCCTTCAAAAGCAGAAAATGATAGATCGAGAGCTGGAAGGGAGCTCAGAGGACACTCAAGAAGTATTTAGCTAAGCCATCCAGCCCAACTCCTTCATTTTACAGATGAAGAAACTGAGGCCCAGTGATTTGCCCAAGGTCGCATAGTCAATAAGTGTCACCAAAGCCTCTGTCTACCATACCCAGGATGACACAGAATCTGATGCTGGCTTATAGAAGTGAAGAGTTTGTTTTATCTCTATTCATTCCCTGTATCCTCACTAGATTTCCATTCAGTCTTTTCCTTTAAGACTTTCTGCCTTGGTTCTGGTTAAGGATCATGAAATCAAATCTTAGAGATAGTAAGTGTTCTTGCAATGCAGGGAGTGTGTGTGTGTGTGTGTGTGTGTGTGTGTGTGTTTAAATAAACCTTCATAGTTTTCATATCATTATCATAAGATATTTGAAGGAAGCTTAATAAGGGGAAGAGGAAAACATAGTTTCTAGTGGTCTCCAAGGAATCAGTTTATACCTTGCACATTTCTTGTTCGCCTTTCTGAAGCATTTCTAGGCAGTCTGTCAACTCACTTTCCTTTCAGCAAATAATAAGCATCCACTATGGATAAGGAACTAGGGACACATAGGTGAAAAAAGTATATACTTTCTTTGCCTCCTGGATGAATCAGTAAATTACAAATAATACCAAAGTTGTTAAAATAAGAAAGAAAATAAAAGAAAATGCGAAGTGCTATGAAAAAGCTGATGAAAGATTAACTACTTATTGCTATTGTTGTCAGTTGTGTCTGAATCTTTGTGACCCTATTTGAGGTTTTCCTGGCAGAGATAATGGAATGGTTTGCCATTTCCTTCTCCAGCCCATTTTACAGATGAGGGATTAAAGCAAAAGGGTTAAATGACTTGCCCAAGGTCACACAGCTAGTAAGTGTCTGAGACCAGATTTGAATTCACAAAGAGGAGTCTTCCTGACTCTAGGCCTGGCACTCCATCCACTGTACCACCTAGCTGCCCGGCTACATCTAACTTAGAGCTTCGTGGAGGAATAGTCCTTGAATTGGGCCTTGAAGGAAGAGAAAGTCTTAATAGGTGGAGGTAGGTGAGAGTCCATTTTTAGGCATGGGGTATGGGCTGAACAAAAGTTCAAGAGAGAACACAGGTTAAAAATGAGAATCATAGATCATTCTAGGATTGTAGATCTATAACTGAAAGGGAGATCGAATGTCCTTAGTCTCATCTTTCAACCGACATATGAATATTGGGACTCAGGAAGTTTAAGGGACTTGACCAAGGACATACAGATTGTAACATGGAGCCTGGATCTGAACCTAGGTTCTGTAACTAACTGACTAGTACTCTTCCCGTTTCTTTAGAATGGTAAATAATCCAGTATAATTGGCATGTAGAATAAGTACCCTTGATGGCTGTGATAGAATAAACACATTCTGAAGAGGAAAAATAAAGGTGTAACTGATGATTTGGTAGTTGTCAAATAGCCCCAAACATCCTTACTTTATGTGAAATATTGTGTATATGAAAATAATCAAATTGGTTTGAATTTCTTTGTCTTATCCCTGTAGTAATAGTACTATATCTTTCCTCAAATTATCATGTATCTATTTTTCTGTTTACATACTATATCTCACCAAGTAGAATATAAGCTTCTTGAGGGCAAGGACTCTTTCATTTGTTCTTGTACATAGGAGATGCCTTAATATTAATGCTCGTTGGATTTGGATTGGGTTGTGTGATCTCGGGTACACATACACACTAGATAATATCTGAGGTTCCTTCCTGGTCTCATTAATATAGTCTTAGTTTAGGGGTTGGAAAACTATTGTCCATGGGCCAAATCCAGCCTTTTGCCTGTTTTTGTACCACCCATGAGCTAATAATGGTTTTTGTGGATTTGGTTTGTGATCTGCAGTTTGCTGACCCCCACCGTAGAGAAATGCCAAATAAAAAAGTTCCCCCCACTTCCCCACAGCATTCCAAACTGAAATGTCAGGGAGTCAGTGGCTCCTTCATGTTATATCTCTTAATGTCTTCCTTACCGAATTTCTAATTGTTTCAGGACCAGGGCGACCATTCAAAGCCATAGATTTCTCCCACCAGGGGCCTGCATTCCTTACCTGGCACAGGTATCATTTATTGTTGCTGGAAAGAGATCTCCAGGTGAGTCAAAATTCTTATATTTCTGTGCTTCCAAAGATGCTTGCTTGTTAATTCTGGTCCTTTGAACTTTGCTAAAGATGTGGTAGGTGTTAGTACCAACTGTTTTGGGGGACAACTTGGTTGGCAGTGTGAAATGGTGACCAGATTTTTTTCTTTCTTGATTTTAGAGACTCACTGGCAATGAGTCCTTTGCATTGCCTTACTGGGACTTTGCCACAGGGAAGAATGAATGTGATGTTTGTACAGATGACTTATTTGGTGCTTCAAGACTGGAAGACTCAACCTTGATTAGTCAGAATTCAAGATTCTCCCGCTGGGAAATTGTATGTGACAGGTAATGAAGCATATAGCTGGAATAAAAAATCTGGTTTTTTTCCCCCTTATGCCTTGAAGAGCCATATATTAAAAATACTTTTCAATGTCTATTTTAATGCCTTTTAATGTATGTTTAAAGGGTAACATGTATGAATTGTTGTGGGGCCCAAAGGGCCTGGGGTCTTGTGTTCATCTTTAGGCACAGGCAAAGGGTTGGATTTGGTTCAATCCTGGTGAAGTCTGGTCTCTCTAATTAGAAGGGCTGGGCTCCCTTTTTCACAGTCTTCATTTTATTAAATTCTACCTTGGAATTATGGAGAATGATTTATTATACTTAGGTTTAGGTTCACATCTCTGTTTCCTTGAAAGGAGTGAGGAGAAAGGTACCCAATTTTCCATGTAAATAAGGTATGAAAAAAGTTATTTTTCCTATACAGAAAAGCAATGTTAAAATGCAAAAGACTCTCAGAAGCTGTGCATTCATAAGACTTAAACTAAACAAGTAGCTGTGTTAGCTACTGTTATATCCCAAATCCATTTAAATATAAAGCAGTTTGTGGGATTGCTGATGACACATTTTCCATTTTACCTCTTTACTGGCCAAACAAGTTTGGGCATATATCTTCTGGTAAATCTTGTTAGGTTGTTAGGAGACCTTCTCCAATACTTTAAATATTGGTGATGGGCATATGTCTTCCGGTAAAATAGGCCAGCCTTAGGCCAGTCCTACTGTTGGTGGCCATCTTCTCCAAAAGCACTGGAATAACTCCTGGGCACACCTTTCTACGCTGTAATTGAGCTTTCACCAAAAGCTTCCAGGACTTTCACCATTCACAAGAATGCCTCTAAATGTAGATGAACCATCTGGAGACAGATTCTTATTCACCTAAGATCAGGAATGGAAATATGAAGCAGAAGAGGCAATCAGGGTCCCAGGCACAAGTCTGTTCAGTCAAGTCCCTTGCTCTAGCTGCCACATGGGTATGGCTACCATGATGCTATGGTTGAGAAGGTCCAGCTTTTTCCTTCTCCCCCAGGAAGCCTTAGTGTTATATGATATCCAGTTATTGAATTGAAGAAAGAGAGACATAGCTGGAAGAGTTCTCTTTTAATTGACACAGCACTCATTCCCCACCCTCCATGCCTGCCAAGGAGTAGAGGAAAGACCAAGAGGTGTGCCACACCAAAAGACCAAGTCTGTTAAGAACTGGGCTATCACATGTCTAGAAGAAGTTAGGAAATTCATCATCTCCAGTGCACCTTAATGTATCACCATGTACTGGGGGTTCCCAGAAGTTTTTTTGGGTGGGACTACTTTGGGTACGTGCTCCCTAGGATGCTCTTGGTAGGACAATTCAACTTCCCTGACAAAAGTATCTTTAAAAATTACATTCTGGTGTAGGCTAAAATTTATGTTGCTCAAATAAACATCTTTAGTAAAGATGAACCTGAACCAAATATAAGTTGAACTTGTTAGATTGTTAGGAGACCTCTGATGCTTCAAAATATTGGTGATGACCCTTTAAGCCCTAAATATATAGTTGTATAATACCATCAGGGTGGTATTCCCTCCACCAATTCTGATTGCCACCCCTGAATGCTTTAGTAGCATCTTTGTGAGTTGTGAGGGTCAAAATTATTTATTACTTATTAGACAAACAGGTGATGATCCTCTTTGACCTTAGCAAGTCTGGTTATGGAAGGAAAAATAAGCTCATTACTGAGCTTGGATTAGTAGTTTCTGCCAGAACTTGTCCATGCTGGCATAGTCCTTAGGAAGTTAGGGTCACCCCCATGCTATGATGAGGTCCAAGAAAAGGCTTTTCAATAAAGGCAATTCAATTTAGCAAAATTCAACAAATTTATCAAGCACTTACAAAGTACAGAGCACTGTTCTGAGCCTTGGAACGAGTGTGAAATCTAAACTATAGATTAGCCATGGTTCCTGTCTTCCTAGAGCATCTAGTTTAGAGAGGAGGGGATAAGACATATACACAGATAACTATAATACATTATGAGTACATTAAGAATGAAACAAAAAAGTTCTATGTGAGGTTTGAGGGGAAAGTCATTAACAACAGTCAAGATCAGGCATGATGTTAGACATTGGGGATAAGAAGAAAACAAAACAAAACAAAAATGATGAAATAGTACCTCTCCTCAAGGCGCTTACACTCTATCTACAAGATAGTTGTGTTATCTTGGTCAGACCCTTTAACCCCTTCAGGCTTCAGTTTCATCTATAAAATCAGGGCTTTGGATTAGATGAACTCTAATAGCTGTTGAGCATCAGCATTCTATCATTCTTGAACATAGCTTTGCATGAAATGTAGCATGACATAGTGAGTAATTAGTCTACCTTGGAGCCAAAAAGATATGAATTCAAGACTCACCTCTGAAACATTGTCTAGGTGACCCTAGGCAGTTCCTTTAACTTCTCAGTACTCTAGGCAATTCTCTAACGCTACAATATTAATACTAATAGAGAGAAGGTGCTAATCTATATAGGTAGAGGGAGTTCTCATGTTTGGGAGTCCCTTATACCAAAGAAATCACAGGTCTAATCCACAAAAACTGTGTTCTATAGAACAACCACAAAACACTCCTTACAGAGATTAAGAAATCAAATAATTCGAGAAATATTAATTGTTTGTGGGCAGGCCAAAATAACATAATAAAAATGACAAAGCTATCTAAATTAAATTTACCTATTTATTGTTGTGCAAATCAAAATATCCTCTGGAGGAGGAAGTCAAGAATCTCAAGGGAAATGATGAAAAAAAGTGAGAAGAGGATCTAACAGTACCAGATTTCAGATTATATATACATACATAAATATATATTTATGCAGTAATCATTTAAATGATTTGGTACTGTTTTTTTAAAAAAGAGGTTGATACAGTTGAAATAGATCATGTTGGAACAGATTGGTTACATAGGATACACAAGCAAACAAATCTAGTAGCTTAATGTTTTATAAGACCCCAGCTACTGGGGCACTCACACTGTTCAACATAAACTGCTGGGTGAAGATCAGATTGGAAGAAATTAGATTTACACCAACGCTTCATACCATATATCAAGAGAAGCTTCAGATAGATGCATGACTTAGATATAAGAGATCACATCATAAATTAGAAGAGCAAGGAAGAAATTTTCTGTCAGACCTTTGGGTAGGGAAAGAGTTTATGGTCAAACAAGGAATAGAGAGGAGCATAGAAGGTAAAATGAATAGTTTTGGTTCCATAACTTTTTTGCAATTAATTTTTTATTTTTATTTAATTTTTTCCAATTACAAAACAAATAAACAAAAAATTTTAGCATCCGGTTTTTAAAATTGAGTTTTAAACTCCCTCCTTCCCTCCTATCCCTCCCCCCTTCTGGAGAAGACAAGCAGTTTGATATAGATTATACATGTGCAGTCATGCAAAACATTTCCATATTAGCCATGTTGCAAAAGGAAACAGACCAAAAATCAAGATTAATAAAGAAGGTTTAAAAAAGTATACTTCAATCTGCATTCAGACTCCATCAATTCTTTCTTGGGAGGTGAGTAACATTTTTTATCATAAGTCCTTTGGAATTGTTTTGAATCATTGTATTGCTGAGAAACTTGCTGTAAAACTTTCCACCAAGTTTCCTGCTTCCCTTTTAGTCTTGGCCACATTGGTTTTGTTTGTGCAAAACCTTTTAAATTTGATGTAGTCAAATTACCCATTTTACAACCCATAATACTCTCTATCTCTTACTTGTTCATAAATTCTTCCCTTATCCATATATCCCATAGGTAAAATATTCCAAGCTCTCTTAATTGGTTTATGATATCATCCTAAATCATGTCTAAATCATGTATTCATTTTGACCTTATCTTGGTATATAGTGTGAGATGTTTTTGCCAAATTTCTTTCTAGTTTTCCCAGCAATTTTTGTCAAATAGCGATTTCTTGTCCCAAAATCTTGGATCTAAACATTAGATTACTATGGTCGTTTACTACTGTGTTTTGCATACCTAATTTATTTCACTGATCCAACCCTCTATTTCTTAGCCAGTACAAAACTAGTTACATAAAATTAACAAAAAAAGGGTTTGTTTGGTTTTTTTTGCACATACAAAATTAATGAAGCTAAAATAAGAAAGGAAATAGTTAACTGGAGAAAAATATCTTTGAAGCAAGTTTCTCTGATCAAGGTCTTATTTCCTAAATATAAAGAATAGATTAAAATTTATGAGGCCAAGAGTGATTTTCTAAACAATAAATGGTCAAAAGATATGAAAAGCAGTTTTCAAAGGAAGAAATCCAAACTATCAACAGCCATATGAAAAATATTCCACATAGTTAATAAGTAAAGATAAATTAAAGCTCCACATCATAACCATTAGATTGGCAAAGATGATAAAAAAGAAAACGACAAATGTTGTGGGGGGCTGTGGAAGAATAGGCACATTAATGCAGTATTAATAGTAATTGTGAATCAGTATAGCATCCTGGAAAGCAATTTCAAACTGTCTAAATACATCTATGTTTGTGGTATGTATGTGGTACACACTCGTTGACCTAGTAATACCACTACTAGGGCTATACCCCAAGGAGATCAAAGCAAGTGGAAAAGACCCACATATTAAAAAAAGATATTTATATACCTCTTTTTTTGAGGTAGCAAAAACCTGGAAAACTGATGGGGATGCCTATCAATTGGAGAATAACTGAACAAATTGTTATCTGAATATAATGGAGTATTACTAAAGTGTAAGAAATGATAAAAGAGATGGTTTCAGACAAACCTGGTAATATTTGTATGAATGGAGGAAAAGGAAAATGAGCAGAATCAGGAGCCCAGTTTATACAATAACAACATCTTAAAGACAAACACCTTTGACAGACTATAGAACTCTGATTAGTGCAATGATCAGCTATGATTCCAGAGGACCAATGATGCACTATGCTCTTCATCTCTTGACAGAGGGATGATGGACTCAAGATGTAGAACGAGACATATGTTTTTGGACACAGCCAAAATGGGATTTTGTTTTGCTGGACTTTCCAGATTTGTTATATAAGGGTTTTTTTTCTTTTTTCTTTTTGGCGGGGGAGGGGGAAGGTAGGAATGTGGAGGTGAGAGGGAAGGGAAATAAATTCTGGTTAATTGAAAAATAAAAGTTATACATACAAAAAATTGGAAGGTTAGTTCCTAATCCTCTAGGTATGTATAGCAACAAATATACTGCAGGAGGGATTCCTACTTTTATTTATAGGTTGGACACTAGTTGACTTTCAAGGTTCTTTTCCAACTCTGACATTTTGTGATTCTATGATTTTAAAATACTTGAACTCCACATTTACATTTTAGCCCATCTGAGAAGCTATGTGGTGTGGTGATAATGCCTTGGATTGAGACTCAGGAGATGCTTGTGTTCACATCAAGCCTCTGAGAAATACTAACTGTAAGACCATGGGCAAGTCTCCGTTTTCCCATTTATAAAATACCTGTTTTGTTGCTGTGAAGGTCAAATGAAGCAAGGCACTTTGCAAACCCTTAAGTACTGTTTTACTAGCAACAATTATTTTCTAACTGCCTCAAAAGGTCATTCCTGAATCCCCAAATACTTATTTTTTGGGAGAAGGGGTACTTTTGCCATAGATGAAGATGTTTCCTCTGTGTAGGCATCAAGATCACAGGTAATAAACTTTTATTGTGAGAAAAGCTCATAAGTGGTCTCCCCCTTACCCCCTGCCCAGCCCCAATTCATGGTCTTTTCTATAACTTAACATTTCTATGGCTTCTAATCTATTTTTTAAAAAATCACAGCTTGGATGACTACAACCGCCGGGTCACCCTGTGTAATGGGACAAATGAAGGTCTGCTGAGAAGGAATCAATTAGGAAGAACTAAAGAGCAGTTGCCCACCATAGAAGATGTCCAGGCCTGCCTTTCTCTTGAGAAGTTTGACAATCCTCCTTTCTTCCAGAATTCTAGCTTCAGTTTTAGGTTTGTGCTCTCACCTTTGCTCGAATGGTGTTTTATACCATCTGGAGATTTTCATTCTCCTGGTTGTTGGGAATAGCAGTTAAGGGATTAAAGCTAAACAAAGGTTAGAAAGAAATCTAGTGTTGGAGTGCATGAGGGTGTTTAACATGATGAGCGGCAGGGCTGGGTGAGAAGAGGGAATAATGGAAACCTTTAATCAGTTATATAAAGCCGTCATTTAGAAGTACACTGATGTTCTCTCCTTGGTATTAGAGTTTTAACTACTATCTGGACAGACTGTCTGAAGTAATTTTATCATGCTCTTTTTTCTTCTATTCATTTATCGGTAAGGTATTAAGGGTCAGGGTACCCCCATAAAGGACAAGATTTATAAACTTTGGGAATTAGTCCAGAGACCATGCTATTTTATGTGTAAATGACCAAAATGTTTTACCTGTCTTATGTCCATGTTGTTGGAGTTTGATCAGTCAAATGAGTCTTTTAGCATAAATTCCATTCAAGCTATAATATAACAATGTCACTAGTCATGTAATATTCAGAGATGCATTGATTTTTTCCACAATGACAGAAAGTCTGATGAATTATTAGAATGATGTATGTGATTATTAAAAGGAAGGCAAAACAGAAAGGTGGCTAGAACTGTGGATTGTAGATGGAGTTTGAGGGCATCCCTTTTCATCATTTGTTCATTCAGCAAACATTTATTAAGCACCACTGATCTAGGTGAGAAGATACAAAGTTTTCATAAGATAGAGTCCTTGCTCTCATAAAGCTTATAGTTTAGTAGCATATTGATTTCTCTACTTCCTTGTAAGTAGGTACTCTGGTCCAGAGGAGAGTATAAACTAACATTTTAAGGTTTGAAAGTGAAGGTATTTGGTAGGGGTAGAGCTGAGGCTAAGAGCCTGAGCTTACAATGGGGAAAGGCCAAAGAGTAGGAACAAGGCCAATGTCAGGAGTGAGACTAAAGAATGAGATGTCAATTAGTTAAAGATATAAGAATAGGTCAAGGTCCAAGTTAAAGCATTTTCATCTAAGCAGTCAACATCACACTTCTTTATCAAGTGTTCACTATGTTCAAGATTCTGGGCCAGGTGTTAGTGATGTAGAATTTATAATTTAAAGGGGGAATACAGAATATAGTCAGTAAGTCAGTCAATGAACATTTATTAAGTGACTAGTTATGTTTTAGGCACTGTGCTAAGCATTTGGGATACAAAGAAAAGCAAAAAACAAAAAGCAAAACTAAAAGCAACCCTTTCCCCAATTTTCCCCCCAAACCCATCCCTGTTCTGTTTTGAGTTGCTCTCAGTATAATGGAGAAGACAACAGGCAAACAATTTTATACAAACAAGATGTATAAAGGATAAATTGGAACTAGTCTCAGAAGGAAGGGACTAAGATTAAGGAAGTCTGAGAAAAACTTCTTGCAGAAGATAGAACTTTAGTTGAGACTTGAAGGAAGCCAGGGAAGCCAGAAGGTAGATTTGAGGAGCGAGAGAATTCCAGGCATGGGGGACAGTCAGCAAAAATGCCTGGAGTGAGGAGAATATCTTGTGCTAGGAATAGTGAGGAGACAAGTTCCACTGAATTCCAGAGTATATGGAGGGGAGTAAGATGTAGGAAGACTGGAAAGATACAAAGGAGTCAAGATGTGAAGGGCATTGAAAGCCAAATGGAGGATTTGATATTTGATTCTGGAGGTAGATAGGGAGCTATAAGAGTTTATTGATGGACTGACACAATTAGACCTATGCTTAAGGAATATAATTTTAATAGCTGAGTAGAGAATAGACTGGAGTGGAGAGGGATAAGGCAGAAGGTCAACAAGAAGGCTACCAAAGTGGTCCAGGTGTGAGATGATGAGGACCTGCATTGGAGTGGTTGAAGTATCACATGAGAGAAGTGGGTATATATGAAAGATGTTAGTATGTTATAAAGGTGGGTTATGACAAAAACAAGCATTATGGTAGTGTTAGAGATAGAGATAGAGATCTGGTCCTGGGTTAGTGATAGAGATCTGGTCCTGGGTAAGTAAGTTAGAAATGGGTTTCAATCTTGCCCCTCATACGTATTAGCCTTGGATATATCGCTTAATCTTGCAGCATCCAAGGAACTCTCAAAGCCTAGAAGTTGCGGAAGAGTTGAGGTACATGGATAGAAGGAGCTTTCTTACTTAGTCCACAGGCGTGGATTACTCTCTCCCACTCCTCCCCTAGGTTCCATCTCCTTTATCAAATCCTTATAGGGCATTCATGTATAAAACAGACATGGAAGACAATTTCAATATATTTTTCCAAGGAGAGAATCAGGCCAAGACCTCTAGGTAAATTTGAAGGAAGAGGGGCAGCTAGTGATAGGAGAAAGCTTTTGTTAGTAGTCCTTTTACTGGGTCCTGTTTACTGCCTAGAGCTATTCTAAGCCCTGACACTAGACTGAAGTGGAGATAACTAGCAGGTCACAGCTCTCTGTCAGTCTCAGTTTATTTGGTACGGAGGTGTTATTATTATTATTTTTAATCCATAGGCTCAGAGGATGGAAAAATTCTGAAAAACTAGCTATGTGTCAAGGATTCAGTATGTGTTGATAACCAGGAAAAAATGTGACCAAGATAAGGAGAAATCAGGGAACCAATATAAGGAGAAGTTGGAGAAGTAAGAATATAGGGAAGTCAGAAGACATTTCTTTTTAGGAAAACTCTTGAGCTAAGCCCTAAGGAAATGGAACCTACCTGTGAAAAGGAACTTGAGGCCACTTGGATGACAAAGTGGTGCTTGATGACAAAATGGGGGTTTGGCAGCTGTTCCAGTAAAACTAACCTTGCAATAGCCTCCCTTGCCATGGGACTGGATGGAGTCCCAAAGGAAAGTGTAGGAAGAAGAAGAGAGGGTTGAAGACTGAGTCTTAGGGGACTCTTACACTTGGTAGAGGTGGTGGTGGTGGTGGTGAAAGATAGGATGAATTATCTAAGAAAATTAGGGAGCATTCATACCCATAGGAGGAAAGCTAACAGAGTACAGTGTCACTGAATTCAAAGTAGGAAAGAGAATAATAAACAGTATTCAATATTACAGAAGGGTGAAAGAGAATGAAGACGGAGAAAAGGTCATGGATTTGGCAGTCAAGAGAACATGAAGATTTTGGAAGGAACAGTTTTGGTAGAGGGGCAGGCTCAGAAGCAACACTTGAAAATTGGGAAATTGTGTGCACTCTGTGACCTTCCTTTGGAGACACTTAGTCTGTACTGCAACATATGGACTTTGAATCACCATAAAATAGATACGTGTTGCTAATAGCAAAATTTCCTGGAATTAGGCATATGTGGAATATTAAAGGTAATATTAAAAAAGTGCCCCTTATTGTGACTTGCCAACTTTTCCCCTTAGTCTTACTAGGTAGGTAATATAGTACTGTATTTGGAGACAAAAAGATCTGAATTTAGATCCTACCTCAGCTGTGTGATCCTGGACAAATCATTTTAAACTCTCAGCCTCAGTTTCTTAATTTGTAAAATGGCAAACCACTCCAGTATTTTTTTTTTAGGCAATTGGGGTTAAGTGACTTGCCCAGGGTCACACAGCTATTTGGGTTGGACTCAGTGGTTTCTAAGATCCCCTCCAGCTCTAACGCTCTGGTCCTGTGTTTCATCCTAGTCAACTGCTTGCCTTGATTACCTCTATTCAAACCCTCAGAATAGGGAAGTAGGTTTTTAAAATATATATATATATATATAAGGTTTTGGTTACAGTGCTTCCATACTTGAAGGGATCTGTGATCTCATTGGTGTAACTACTTTCTCCAGTGGCAGAGATAATAACTCAACCATGCCTTCTTATCTTGTATAATTGTCAACTGTACCCTTCCATAAATTCTCTATAGAGAATTTGTACACCAAGAATTCACTGCACTGCAGTTCCTTTTCTGATTATTTTTAAGGCAATTAGGGTTAAGTGACTTGCCCAGGGTCACACAGCTAGTAAGTGTCAAGTGTTTGGTCTGAGGCTGGATTTGAACTCAGGTCCTCCTGACATCAGGACTGGTGCTCTATCCACTGTGTCACCTAGCCACCCCCCTTTTCTGATTTTTTAAAAGAGCATTTTGTGGATACCAGTGTATGACAGCAAATGTGCTGGGTTGGGTTGGTTTTTTCAATGCTGAAAATAGGTTCTCATACTAGGATTTCTGTTCAATTGAGCAGGTGCAGAATTGAGCAGTGACCAGGAAGGAAAGATGACTCTCAAATTTTAGATCTAGGTGACTGGGAGGATAGTGGTTATAGAAGTTGGGAGAAAGAGGACAATTTGGCGAGGTGGGAAGATGTCTTTGAGCTTCACTTTTCTCATCTATAACCCTCTCCTCACACCAAGGAATTCACTTTTTAAAAATGGGGGCTAATGTCAAGCCTATTAAATATGCTCATTACATATGACTCCTTTAGTCTCCAATTTAGTAGAATATCACTATTGGAGAGTACAAAAAAGATCTTTTGAAAATATCTATGGATATCATGGGACAATTAGTGGTTTTGAATAGAATGCTGGGTCTGGACTCAGGCTCAGACTCATCTTCCTGAGTTCAAATCTGGCCTCAGACACTTACTAGCTACATGACTCTGGGCAAGTCACTTAACCCTGTTTGCCTCAATTTCTTCATGTGTAAAATGATCTGGAGAAGGTAATGGCAAACCACTCCAGTATTTTTTTTTTTTTAGGCAATTGGGGTTAAGTGACTTGCCCAGGGTCACACAGCTAGTAAGTGTCTAGTGTTTGGTCTGAGGCTGGATTTGAACTCAGGTCCTCCTGACTTCAGGGCTGGTGCTCTATCCACTGCGCCACCTAGCTGCCCCACCACTCCAGTATCTTTGCCAAGAAAATCCCAAATAGGGTCATGAAGAGTCAGACACAACTGAAACAACTGAACAATAACAACAAAATGGATATCATATTTCATATTTCTCTTATGCAGGAATGCCCTGGAAGGATTTGATAAAGCAGATGGAACCTTTGATTCAACAGCAACAAGCCTTCATAACTTGGTTCATGCTTTCCTGAATGGCACTAGTGCTTTGCCCCATTCTGCTGCAAATGACCCCATTTTTGTGGTATGTCCTTTTTAAAGACTGATAGGAGATAAAGATGCCTCGAAGGCAAGTTTTTCTTTTCCTTGAGAATTAAAAAAAATTATATCAAGATTTGGCAGGTAAGTACTATTTAATCTAAGAGCAACTTTTTGGTTCATGTAATGTGTACAAGTGTTAACATCGTTCCACAGCAGAAGCTGCTCTAAATAAGTATCTCAGTGTCCTTGCCTCAGTAGAGAGCATCTTGATAGTTACACCGTAAATTTTAGGTTGCAAAAAAGTTCATCCTTACTTAGAGATTTGTTTGGTTTTGAAAATGTGCTCAGTGGGACAATGTCCTGAGACAAAGTAGTAAGTTGGCTGAAGGTCTCATAACCATGTTATTCCAATGATCCTCAGTCAATAGCTAATCAATACAAAGTCTGTTGAGAAGCATTAAATAACATAAAAATCAATGTTTCAGCAGTGAACCTCGACTCTATCTCTGCTTTATAGATAGTTACTTATCTCACCATAAATTATCTTCAGACTATCGGTCTTCATGGCTGTACATCTTTGGTAGATGGTTTCAAAGCAATAATGAAAAAAAATTTCATCCCTGATCTTTTCTTAGGCTACCCCTATTGTAAGACTATTTTCTTGCACAGATACATCCAGACACATTGTAGCAACAACTGGCCCATTTGCCCCTTCAGTATGTCACCAGTCATAGTATCTGTGTTGAAAGACTGCATAATGATGTAGTAGAGTCAGACTCAGAGTCAAAAAAGCTCTAGGTTCAAGTCCTTTGACCCATACCCTCTCTGTGACCCTAGCAAGTCACTTAACCTCTTAGTGTCCTAGGAGATTTCCTACGGCTATAGGTGGAAGAACTGTTGCCAAACTACATTGGTAGAAGGGATTTCCTCACTAAGAACCCATGATAAAATTGAAATTAAAGAATTTTTGTGTGTTGTGTTTTGTGTGTGTGTGTGTGTGTGTGGGTGGGTGGGTGGGTGAGAGAGAGAGAGAGAGAGAGAGAGAGAGAGAGAGAGAGAGAAGGGGATTTAACAATTGGTTAAGGAGACTACCAACGTCCCAACAAACGCCTTCTTGTTGAAAACCCTGAAGACTCTGCACAATGCTTGGAAAACTCCACTACACTCAGAAATGCTCCCTTTGTGGAGGGGAGAGATTGAGCTACTAACCATTATATTTATGTAAACTTTATTATCTAGTGGCTGTGGCAATTTAATCTACCTTCTATTCATCAGCTTTGTTAGAGACACCAATTGTTAGTAAATATCAGCCAAACTCTTGCTTTAATTTCTTTCAATTTGCCCCCAGCTGTAGCTTTCTCTTCAGCAATTAGTGAGCCACTCACTTTAGATACTATGGGATGCTTGTACAAAGGATTGGAGATTGTGTAGAGGATTGATAGTGTACTCAGACATCGTTTACAATTAACCTCTATGTGGCCACACTTATGTCAACTTGTAATTCTTTGTAAGCCTATTCCCTCAGTCAAAAAACAATTGGGACTTGCCATATGTGGAGGCTCCCCCAAATTCAAAATTGCTATCTGCTTGGTAACCAAGTATTATAATGGGGTGCGGGAAGAATCAACTAGAAAAATCAGAAGGAGTTTGGGCTACACAAACTTTAGTCCAGGGTACTACTGCCTTATAAGGTGACTTTAGAGAAAAGATTACTTTGAGACAGCACTGAGTGACAGGGGAGATATGTGAAAGACGTCAGAATGATAGTCAATTAGGTAATCCCTGTGTTAGGACTAATGTGCATAATAGGAATAACTTCATAATAGTTATATGGCAAAATTCTCACCCAATGCTCTTTCTAGAAGGCAGGTTTATCTAGGTAGAAAATTTACTTCTATAATTTTAAAATATGGAATGATCAGAGCTGCTGTATTTGAAGTCAGAAGTTTTGGATTCAAATCCCTACTCTGATACTGAATAGCAAATAAGATGGTATTAAAAATGTAGTTGTCCTTGACTTTCTGACCCAGCAACATCATTTCTGAATCTTTGCTGTTCTCTGTGCTTCAGACTTCAAGTATTTGGCAGCACTGCTCAACATAAAAGACTTCCTCAGGAAAACATGCAATGTAGGGAAATATAAATACAAATACGAAGGGAAAAAGTACCCAGGATACTAGATCACACAGCACGTATTCTACTCAGCTTCCTAACTGATCTTCCTAAAGCACAGACCTGACCATGCCTCCCCTATCCCCTGCCCCCCTTTAATAAACTCTAGTAGCTGCCAGAATCAAAAATAAAATCCTGTTTGGCCTTGAAAACGCTTCACAGCTTGGCTCCTTCCTCTCTTTCCAGACTTCTTATACATTACTCCCCTCTATATACTCTGTGATTCAGGGACATTAGTTTCCTTGGTGTTCCTCGAACAACACACTCCATCTGTCAAGTCTGGGCATTTTTGCTAACTGGATTCCATGCCTGGAACTCTCTCCTTTCTTAACTCCACCTTCTAGCCTCCCTGGTTTCCTTTAGGTCTCAAGTAAAGTCCCATCTTCTGCAAGAAGATCCCAATCCTACTTAATCTCAGTGCCTTCCTTCTGAGATTATCTCCAGTTTATCCCGAATACATCTTGTTTGTTGATAATTGTTTGCAGGTCATCTCTGCTATTAGCCTGTAAACTCCTTGAGAGCAGGAACTGATTTTTGCCTTTCTTTGTATCTCCAGTGCTTAGCACAGTGCCTGAAACATAGTGGCAACCTAATAAATGCTTATCTACTAAGAAGTTTCACTCAGGTCACTTACTCTACCTCCTTCCACTAATAATAAATTTTAACAATATATTATATTATAATAATATATAAATAAATAATAATTTATATGGCACTTTAAGATTTGAAAAGTTTCTTTACAAATATTATCTCATTTTATTCTCACAACAACCCTTGGAGGTAGGTGCTATATTATCCCCATTTTGCATATGAGGAAACTGAGACAGTCAGAGGTTAATTGACTTGCCCAGGGTCACACAGCTATTAAGTGTCTGGGGCATGATTTGAATTCAGGTTTTCAAGATTTTAAGTCCTATATTCTCTCCACCGTGCCACCCAGCTGCCTGATATTACAAAATGGATCATTCTGTAACTTCTACATAATGGGCCAGCCAGGACAGCAGCCCCAAGACCAATGCTCTATCAGCTTTGTTATGCTGCCAGCAAATGGCCTCAGAAATGGGTGCCTTCATTAGAGTCATTGGCCATAGTTGCTGCTTTCCTGCTATCACAGATTGCAAGGTCATGTGATGTAGTGAAAAGAGTATAGGATGTGAAGTCAGAAGACCTGGATTTGAACCCTGGATCTGCTACTTGCCCTTTGGGTGACATTGGGAAACTATTTAACCTCCCTTGTCCTCATCTACAAACTGAGGGGTTAATTAGATGACCTTTAGCTTTAAATCCATAATTCTACGATCGACAGTTCTACCACCCTGGGTGTGATAGCCCTTCTTGGGCTTTCCTTGGCCAAAGGGTTAAAAAAGATTTTGAATTTGTGTCATAAAAGTGAACTGTTTCAGCACGTTTCAGGTAAGAAAAAGTGGAGAAGTCATGTTAAAGAATATTTTGCATGTCCTTCAATGTTAGCACTACTGGTATGCTAATTTTAAATGTTCTATGAGAATTTTTTAAAGGAAGAATCCCACTCCAACTTTCTCTTATGTATATTTATTTATGTATATGTTTTCTTGCTCATGAGAAGGAAAACACTTTGCATCCTCAACACTTAGCACAGTGCCTGGAATGTAGTAAGTACTCAATGAATGCTTATTGATTGCTAGATTGATTAATTTCATATAACAAAGCTTGGAGATGGGTTTGGAAAAGGCTAGCACTGAATATTGCGTTCAACTTTGTGGCAGGTCCTTCATTCCTTTACTGATGCCATTTTCGATGAATGGATGAAACGCTTCAATCCAACTATCAATGCCTGGCCTCCAGAGCTAGCACCCATTGGTCACAATCGGATGTATAACATGGTCCCTTTCTTCCCTCCTGTGACAAATGAGGAGTTCTTCTTAACTGCAGACCAACTTGGCTATGATTATGCTATTAACTTGCCAGGTAACCATTATAATTGGTTCATTGTCTGAAGCAACATGCTTTCTTCCTTATCTCTCAGATGAACAGAGGACTATAAATAAGGCATTCAGATTAGATTTAGATTTAGATTTATTGGCTATTCTATTGATTACATTTGCAAGTATTTTGAAATGAAGCTGTAAGATCCTGAATGAGGTAGGTGAATGACTGGTGTTACCATACATTGTGACTACGCTTAACTAAAGCTATGTCTATCTATACAACTGATTTTACTATTGTGACTAAATTAACTGTATAGCTTTTCAGTTTCAAAGGGGAAAAATAGTCAAGCTGGCTGCCTCTATTGACCAATCAATTAAATGAAAATGGTTAATGGGCTGGCACAATGTAGACATGGCCCTAGAGTGTCTTAGAGATAAAATTCATAGAGCTTCTAACCAATCTACCGCTTACTGAAGCAAAGGGAAAGTAAAACAATATAAATAGTCAAGAATAATTAAGTAGATGTTTAAAGATGATATATTTATTTGCAGGTGGCTTTTCCCTAATCTAACCCATTTACTCTTTCCTCATTCTTGACCTAATAGAAGGTCAGAGAGTCAATTTATACCCTCACTTCTGCTACTTTGGCTCAGTGTCAACAGGAGCCATCAGCTCCTGCTTCTGGCTCTATCTAGCCTTTGTTATAGCTTACTATAGCCTATGAAATTCACATTAAATCCTCACCACTTTCTCATGGCATATGTCTCCTGAGATAGTAAAGGAACTCTATTTTATATTTTATTTTGTCTATCTTCTCTCCTGTGTTAAAACTAAGAGGAGCTGTGGTGGGCAGGTAGATGGAGCAGTGGATAAAGCACCAGGCCTGGAGTCACGAAGACTTGAGCTCAAATCCTGTCTCAAATACTTACTAGCTATGTGACCCTGGGCAAGTCACTTAACCCTATTTGCCCCAGTTTCCTCATCTGCAAAATGAGTTGGAAAAGACAAACCACTCTAGCATCTTTGCCAAGAAAACCCCAAATGAGTTCATAAAGATTTGGACATGACTGAAATGACTGAAGAATAACATGATAGGGGAGATGTATTCAGCTCATATTAGTCTTCATTCTAATGTAAGCCCATCTGTAGATTATCTAAAGTGGGGCACAGAATTGAGCTGTGATGGATCCAATAAGCCATTAAGGAATTTATAGTTTGAGCTGAGATAAAACATAAATTCATAAAATGTGAAATAACAGCATTAAGTAATATGTGATTATGTACCATATAGTATAATGCTACATGAATTCAAAGAAGGGAGTCATCAATTAATTCAGGAAGGTTTCACATAGTAGGTGGGCCATGGGGACTAGGTAGAATTTGGAAAAGTTGAAGAGAGAAGAAAGAGAACATTTTAACTTGGAGAAACAATGCAAATAAAAGTACAAGTAGAAGAAAGGTTAATATTAAAGATTCATCACGAAGATTAATGGCAGTTAAGGTTGGATAATCAAGAGGGGTCCAATTATTGAGGGTTTAGAGAACTAGGGAGGAGAGTTTGAGGTTTATGTGGTAGACAATGAGAAGTCACAGTGGGTTCTTGAGGAGAATGATGAGATTACGCTAGTATTTTAGGAAGATTAATTTATCAGCATGGCATAGAACAAGGCACGCTATTAAGTACTGGTCTTAGAGTCAGGGGACCTGGGTTCAAGTTGCAGCATTGACATTAAATTTGCCATTCTGGACAAGCCACTGATCCACTATGAGTCTCAGTTTTCTCATTTATAAAATGGGTATGATACACTACATATCTCATAGGATTCTTGTGAAGATCTTATGATCATGAAATGAGATGATTTACATGTGTGTGTATCTATGCATGTCCAATCTTCGAAAGTGCTTTGTAAATCTTAAAATACTATATATACATATGGAAACACATACATATATGTCAGTATTTATAGAAATATTTATATTGGTATTATAGTAGGGAAAGGCCAAAGACAGGGACACTAACTCAGGGTTGAAGAGCCAGTATGGTGTAGTGGAAAGAAAACTAAACCTGGAGTTAGAACAATCAGGTTCAAACCCCAGCTCAGCCTCTTATTACCTGTGTGATTTTGGGCAAGTGCCTTAACTTTTCTGGGCATCGGTTTCCTTTTCCATAAAGTGAAAAAGTTCAATCATATGGCCTCTAAGATCCTTTCCAATTCTAAATATAGGTTATTATGCAGTAGTCTCATTCAAAAAGGTCCTGAATTAGGTGGTTGTTGTTGGGACCTAGTGTTGGAAGAGATCTTGGGGGTTATCTAGCTCAATACTCTTATTTGAGGAAATTAAGGCCCAGAGAGTTTTTGTGGCTTTAGGGAAAGATAATGAATCCTGCTTTGGAGTTCAAGCTGAGATGTCCAAATGCCCCTTGGTGATACAGTACTGGGACTCAGGAGAGAGATGAAAGTTTGATTTTGTAAAAATGTTTTGAGTTAACATAATAAACATTATGTGAAAGAATAGAATATTACTATCTACCTTCTTCTAGAAAAGTAAGTAGATTTTGACCAATAGTTATGCTGGAATAAATGCGGCATAATGGCTAGTTCTAATTCCGGGCCCTAATTCTTCCTCAGATATTTACCAGCTGTGTGATAACCTAGGTAATTCATTTTGCCTCTCTAATAGTCACTCATTATTTAATGAGAACCTCAGTTTTTTTCATCTGTAAGATTGGGATAATGATAGCCCCCTACCTGTGAGAATCAAAGGAGATAAGTTGTATAAAACACTTTGTAACCCTCAATAAATATGAGCTATCATAATTTGTTGTGTGATCTTGAGCAAGTCATTTGATCTCTGAATCTGTTTCTTCACTGTAAAGTGAAGGAGTTGGGTTTGACCTCTAAAGTTCTAACTCTAGATCTATGATTCTGCAGGCTAGTCAATTTTATTTAAGTAAGCTGTACATAATTGATTTGCAGTTTCATGTGTAATCATCCTTTTTATTATACTATGTTACAGAAGTGCTTGTTTTATTCCAGAAATTAAAAAAATAAAGTAAAAAAGGTAAAAATTAAATGTAAAAAAAACCGGGTTCAATCTTTTTGGTCTTCTGATCTACTATGTAAAACATTAAATACATTAAAGGTGACTTTTTGCTCTCCAGAAAGAAAGAAAGAAAGAAAGAAAGAGAAATCTAATACTTTGGTATATTATGTCACAGAGTACCAATGATTCGTATCAAAAGTGGTTTGTTTCTTTTCTTTCTTGGGGTGTTGAACTGCTAAAAGTCTTTGACCTAACCCACACCTTCATTCTCTGTTTCAGCTTCATTTTCAGTGAAAGCTACCCAGGGCCCGACTATAATCCTGTCAGTTATTGGAGCAGGCCTAGTGGCTTTAGTAGCCTTTTCTATGCTACTAGTTCTCCTTCAGTACAGAAGACAGCGGAAAGGATTTACGCCCCTGATGGAGACCAGATTCAGTAACAGGAAATACACAGAAGAAGCCTAATACTAAAAAATACTTGCTTTTCAATTAAGCCTCAGAAGAAAGAGCCTGGTCAAATTGTAAGGAATTAGCTTGGTTACTGGTTCTGTTGTGACTTTGGTATTGAAAAGATTATTTCCTAGGGAGCTAATTGAATTGTTCTTTCTTTCACTGAGCATATTGTTGGCATAGGTTTTCTTGGTGTGGCAATGTTCCAAAACATAGGGAATACTTAGCTTTTTCTTTGAATAAACTCACAGCTAGAATACTTGGGAAGTTTCTGTTGCTAAATAAAGGTAGAGCTCATGATTTTTATCTCAAGACAATCACTCTCCACACATCTCAATCTTCACCATCACCTGAGAGCATCAAGATATGAAGAGGAGAAAGTCACTTAGAATTTGAAGACCATAGAATTTTAGAGATAGAAGTTAAATTAGTGATTGTGCCCACTTATAAATGGACTTCTGTTCAGCACATATGACTTGGAAGATCTTTCTTCAAGTTGATTCTTCTCCAGAGGACTTGCATTTAATTTTATGTGAAAATTAAAATAAAATTTCAAATTAGATCTTCAAATTGCCATTTTGTTTTTTCAGTGTGGGGACAAAGAGGGAAAGAGAAATTATAACCTCAAACATACAAAGTTACACACAAAACCATGTATACATATATACACACATATAATATTTAAGCTGGCAGTTAGGTTTTCTCCAATTAATTACTTTAATCTTTGGCTTATTTACATCAGAATAATTTCCTGACACACTCCCTACAATCTTGAATCCTTCAATGTAACAAAGAAAAATTTGAGCCAAATCTAACTGACAAAATAATCACATACAACAGTATTTACAATATAATTCCACACCCAATAATCTACCTTTCTAACAAAATAACTCCCAAGCATCTGTCAAAATTATACAGTATTTCTTGAAAGGCAAAGTAATAGAAATAACTTTGTTCAACAACTCTTTGCTTATTACATCAAGGAAGCCATAAAATCGGAATATAAGGGTATCCCTGCCACTGTCAGGGAGGATGTTCACTGCAGAGTGGGATTCCCTATAGAGGGTGAGATGTTTCTGTTTGTAGCTGACACTGTGCTGGTTGCAGCAAGTTCCAGAACATCACAAAGCTTTCCTAATGAGAGCTCACTCAAAAGAGTCCAGTTAGACTGTCCACAGAGGAAAAACCCTTAAAGACAATGAAACTATTATGCAGATGATGTTTGTGATAGAGCTGAGCCATCAGCACTCAAATCTTGGACAGAACCTGTGAATGGATAAAGAACTGAATGAAAGGAAAAGAGAAGTCTGAACTGCTTTTGGAAAATTATCTTTATAATTATCTCAAGCTTTGACTACCACAATCTCTGAGGAACTAAAGTTATAGGTCACTTAAATGCATGCTCAGTATGAATAAACTACAATGAATTGACATAACTTGTATAGATAGCTAGCATCTATACAAGTGTTATCTCATTTGATCTTCACAACATCCCTGGGAAGTGTTTAGTCCTTTCCATCATGTCCAACTCTTTGTGACCCCATTTGGGGTTTTCGTGACAAAGATACTGGAGTGATTTGCCATTTCTCCTCCAGCTTATTTTACAGATGAGGAACTAAGGCAAACAAGGTTAAGTGACTTGCCCAGGGTTGCACTGCCAGTAAGTGTCTGAGGCCAGATTTGAACTCAGGTCTTCCTGACTCTAGGCCTGGTACTCTATCCATTGTACCCTAGTTGGCCCAGGAAGTAGGTGCTATTGTTTCTCCATTTTACAGAAGAACAAACTGAGGCAATTAGAGTGACTTGCCTTGCATCACATAGGTTTCAAGTGTCAAGAGGCTGGGTTAGATCTCATTCACTTTATCTCTCAGAATCTCAGTTTCCTCATCTGGAAAATGAGACCTTTAGACCAGATGGCCCTTGAGGTACATTCCAACTCTAAATTTATGATCCCCTGATCTCCAAGGGACTCAAACAGGGATGCATATGAGCATACCGAGTGTTCAAGGTATAATGCTTTGTCTCTCTTTCCTTGCAGTACCATCCGTAGGGACATTGTGTGCACACCTCCAGCGCACACTGCCACCAAATGAATGACATAATTGACTCTGATCATTCTCTATGAAGACTGGGTGGTGGTTGGGTTCCTAGGTCAGGGAGTCTTTTTCTCCATGTAAATTTATCTATACATCAGACTCTCTGGTTGTGTTTCTTTTTTTCCAAGTCCCTTCCTCTTCCAACCTGTATATATATCGTGTGAATAGGAAAATTCAATCATTTTCACTAGAATCTGGCCCCACTAGATTCTTTCAAATCATCACATGCATCTCTATTGTCCCCTAGTGGCTGAATGTGGGGAAAAAGCTGTGCACAGAACACTGAATCCTTTCATCTAGGGACCTCCTCATTCTCTTGCTATGCCTGTGCATTATTTCAACAAAGGTGGGACTAATTGAGTTAACAATAGCTAGAATTAACATACTGCTTTAAGGGTTACAAAACACTTTACAGTTATATAATTTTTATCCTCATAACAGAGGTAGGGGCTATTATTATAGCCATTTTGTAGATGAGGAAATGAGGTAAACAGATTATGTGACTCGCCCAGGGTCACTCAGATAGTAAAACACTTGAGGCCAGATTTGAACTCAAGTCTTCTTGAGTTCTTTATCTGCTCTGTATCTACTGCATCACTTGCTTTATCATTAGCTAGACTAGCTGCCTTAAAAAAAAGAAAGAAAGAAATTCAAGGAATTGGATTATTTTGCTGTGAAAAAGCAGATAAATGGGGCAGCTAGGTGGTGCAGTGGATAGAGCAACAGTCCTGAAGTCAGGGCAATCTGAGTTAAAATCCTGCCTCAGACCAAACACTTGACACTTATTAGCTGTGTGACCCTGGGCAAGTCACTTAACCCCAATTGTCTTAAAAAAAAAAAAAAGAAAGAAAAAGCAGATAAATGTGGAAATCAGTAATAACAAAAAGCAAAAATCTTGAAAAAGACCTTAAGGAAAGATATGTCTAGCATAGTAGGAATTAGGGTTGTGAACCATCTTGGTTAGTGCAGAAGGTGGATTATGTAGTGGAGAGTGAGCAGGATTGTGAAGGACCTCAAGATCCCACAAGAAAATAACTTAAAGGAACCGGGGGCATTCTGCCTGGAGAAGAAAAGGCTCAGGAAGGAAATACGATATTTGGCTTCAAGTATTGGAATGACTTTTGAGTGGGAGAGGTATCAAAATTATTCTGTTTGGCCCCAGAGGACAGAATAAAGGACAATATAGGTGGAAATTAAAGAGAGGCAGATTTTGGCTCAGTATAAGGAGAAACTTTTTAATAGTGGGAACTATCTAAAAGTGGGATAGGCTACTGCTAGGAATTAAGGGCTCATTCTTACTAAAGAGCATTAGGTAGCCACGCATGGCAACATTATTGAGTGGATTCTTGTTCAGATCCAGTTTGGAAAAGATGGCCTCTGGGTCTCTTTGTAGACTCTGCAATTAGCCCTCCTCAGGGTCATTCTCTGATTGTTTGGCTACATATAAATACCTATAAAAACTATCACAAAGTTTCCCAAGTGTTTTGTGGCATATCAATATGAGCCAAATAGAAGTGTCACCCTTCTTTACACATTTTTATTTATTAGTTCAATGTAAAATTTCATCACCAAAGTTTAATGCTTCTGGCTAGGAGTGAAATTACTCCACATTAAGGTACAATCTGCCCTCTTGTGGCTAATGGGAAACTTGCAGAGAATACGGGAAAGTCCACTAAACTGGTTTGCATTTGTGGCTTTAATTGTCTGGGTCAGAAACCAAGTAAGTAATGCTTTCAGAAAATCTAGAAATCAGTGCAGATAAAATACGTACCATGCTGTTTAAAATGTAACCATTTTCTGACTGGTCAAAAAAAAATAACACAGCAAAGGATGTATCCAAATTTCCATTTTAAACCATATTTGAAAAATTTCACCAGCAAACTATAAAGGTTTTGGAACATTTTAAGCTGCAGGGCAAAAATCTTTTACATTTTCTTGGCAAATGCATACAGGGTATAATTTAGTTAAATATTATGTATATAATTACACTGCAGCTGGAGGTTGGTGGAACTTCCTTTTCAATAAATTTTTTATAGTGGAGTTGGCCGTTCTTGGAAAAATTTGTGAAAAAAAAATTGGATCACTGAGTTGAAACTAGATATAACCACCTTCAGCCCGGATACAGAATTGGGTTTGAATCTAAGCAGCCTCAGAAAAAAGTCGCTTTCAAGATTAGACATTTGAATCACGTTCAAATAGTTATTAAGAGCCCATTACAAACTTAGTGCCAGAGCCCATTGGAGAAAGAGACAGATATTAATCAATAGAGAATCATAGATTTATAGGTGTAAGGGATGTTATTGGTCTTCTGGTCCAACTTTCCAATTTTACCTGGAGGCATCTACATTTATATGTAGCATAGAGCCACTAAAAACTATTGCTAATGGGCTCCCACAGATGTATTTACTTTTGTTAACCTGCCAGAGTACACACAGTTCAAAGTTAAGACATTTAATTAAATAATACAGTAAGAAAAGTAACAATAAAAACATTTCCCCTATAAACCTTGGGCATTTTCATCCACAAAGAGTGCATATACCTAGGGAACATGTGTGGAAGGGCGCACATGGAAGGAACAATATGACTAGAGCAATATATGGGGGAATACGTGACCAGGACAAATATGTGGAGAGACACACATGTGGAAGGGAATATATATATATACACACATACATACATATGCATGTGTATGTATATATATATGTGTGTATATATACATATACATACATATACATATACACATATACATATATACACATGCATATATACATATACACATATATACACACATATATACATATATATACATATATGTATATATATATATGGTACTCAAATGGCCAAGGTGTATGAATGGAGGGGATCTCATGCCTCTGATGTTATAGAGTCACCAACATTTTCTGGTGATGTTATTGAATTATTTTCACTGGGCATGCTCCATATTGGAAGTTCCTTTCTACTAGGCCTACTTGTTGGATATCATATCTCATCGAAACTGAGTTGCTCTCTGGCTTTCTCTATTGGGATGATCTTGCTGCTTCCACTCACTGGATGTCAGTTGAAGTCTTTGGTTGAGGCACTGTCTCTTCTCCCTAAAAGGAATGGGCTCTGCCATCTTTCTTTTTGCTTAGCATCTATAGCCTAAAGTTTAGAACTTTTAGTGGAAAAGATAGGCCTTTAACAACCTAGTCATTAAAAACCCTTTATGCCTTTTCTTACCATAAGGAGAGGGAGGTTGATTAGCTCCCAGAGTCTTCTCGTTCCTTCCCTCAAGCTCTTTTGAGGCACAGACTAGTCAGCCAGTTTATTAGAGTCTTCAAGCATTGAACAGATCTTTGAATATTTGCCCTTGCTAGGAGGATTAAGGTCTCTATCCAAAACTTCTCTCTTAGGGTTATAGAATTCTTTTT